ACCCATCCACCCACCCACCCATCCATCCACCCACTATCCATCCATCTATCCATTCACCCACCCACAATCCATTATCCACCCATCCATTCATTCATCCATCCACCCACCGTCCATCCACCATCCACCCACCATCCACCCACCATCCATCCACCATCCACCCACCACCCATCCATCCATCCATCCACCCACCCACCTTCAGGATTCACTGGGCAGTGCCTGTGTGTGGCCTATGCAGTGCTGACACAGAGCGGAGCCCGTTGAGGGGTGGGGTGTGAAGTGCCTACGGGACTGAGAGCAGACAGCTCATCCCTCTGGTGAGGGCGGCGGGGCAGAGCTGGGGACCCCGTCCTGCCCAAGACCCAGCCCTCCGGGGGCCAGCGCTGTGCTCTGGACCATGCGGAGTCATGGCCGGCGGCACTCAGAGAGTTTGGGGTTGGCCTTGGAGACAGCGTTCAGATCCCAGCCCTGCCTCTGACTCGGGGTCTGACCCAGGCACCAGGCGGGCTTGTCGGCTGCGGCTCTCGCTCAGCACTCGGATGCCAGGCCTGGGCCTCCACCTGCAGCCCGGACAGCCCATGGCACCGTCTTGTCTCCACAGAGCGACCTGCTGGATGTGACCCAGATCCTCAAGGACTTGGCGGCCGTGGTGTCGGAGCAAGGAGAGGCCGTCGGTGGGTGCCCTGCCCCGCCCGCCACTGCTCCCCGTCCAGCTGCCCCGGGAGGAGCCAGGCCAGGGCGGGTTATGGGTCTGAGGGTCTCCTCCCCTAGGAAGCCGGGGGGCGGGGCTCATACAGGAGGTCCTGGCCTCCGTGCCCCCGGGGTTCCTCCCCCCCCAGGGCTGCACGGGGGGTGGATGGGTGGATGAGGGGGTGGATGGGTGGATGAGGGGGTGGATGGGTGGATGAGGGGGTGGATGGGTGGATGAGGGGGTGGATGGGTGGATGAGGGGGTGGATGGGTGGATGAGGGGGTGGATGGGTGGATGAGGGGGTGGATGGGTGGATGAGGGGGTGGATGGGTGGATGAGGGGGTGGATGGGTGGATGAGGGGGTGGATGGGTGGATGAGGGGGTGGATGGGTGGATGAGGGGGTGGATGGGTGGATGAGGGGGTGGATGGGTGGATGAGGGGGTGGATGGGTGGATGAGGGGGTGGATGGGTGGATGAGGGGGTGGATGGGTGGATGAGGGGGTGGATGGGTGGATGAGGGGGTGGATGGGTGGATGAGGGGGTGGATGGGTGGATGAGGGGGTGGATGGGTGGATGAGGGGGTGGATGGGTGGATGAGGGGGTGGATGGGTGGATGAGGGGGTGGATGGGTGGATGAGGGGGTGGATGGGTGGATGAGGGGGTGGATGGGTGGATGAGGGGGTGGATGGGTGGATGAGGGGGTGGATGGGTGGATGAGGGGGTGGATGGGTGGATGAGGGGGTGGATGGGTGGATGAGGGGGTGGATGGGTGGATGAGGGGGTGGATGGGTGGATGAGGGGGTGGATGGGTGGATGAGGGGGTGGATGGGTGGATGAGGGGGTGGATGGATGGGTGGGGGGGTGGATGGGTGGATGAGGGGGTGGATGGGTGGGTGGATGTAGGGAAGGAGGATGGAAGGAGGGAGATGGATGGGTGGACGAGAGGTGGGTGATGGAACAAGGGTTGGCAGGTAGATGAGCAGATGAGTGAGTGGATATATAACTAGGCAGAGGGACAGGGTGGTGGATAGACAATGGCCAACTTGGTGGGTGCACAGGTGGTTGGTGGGCAGTTGGGTGCTGGGTGGATGCAGATGTTGGTTCCTGCCTCAGGCAGCGCCCCCTCTGACAAGGCTCCTGCACCCCATGTGCTCCCCAGATCAGGTGGGCCTGGGTTCAAGGCTGGCACTGCTGCAACCCAGCTTCATGGTAACTTTGGGGGTGGCCCCCTCCTTTGAGCCTGCAGGATGGCACCATGACGGAGGGGGCATGGGTGCCACACCTGCTGTCCATGCTGCCCCGGCGCTGACTCCAGCCCAGGTGTGAGAGCCTGCGCTCACAGTGCCCAGCACCCACCCTGTGCGCCTTCACACACGTGCTCACCCGGTGCTGGGTGGGTGCTGCTGGGCTAGGGGAGAGTGTGTGGTTTGGGGTTGCTGAGGCACCCCGGTTTTATGTATTTATTATTATTAATATACTAGAGGCCTGGTGCACAAAAATTTGCCAGTGCCCGGAGGTGCTCACGGACTGGCCTTAGCCCTCCCTGTGGCTCCACAGCCCTGCCCTCCTCAGTGGCTGAGGCCCTGCCAGTGGGAGCCGCCCAGGGGGCAGAATCTACCAGCCCGGCCTCCACCCTGTCCTGAGGGGCTGTCCTGCCCGAGGGGCACCTCCAGGCCTCTGTCCTGATGGTTTGGGCCGGGCAGTGCTATGCCAGGCCAGCGCCCGGTGCCCAGCTGCAGCCACTGCCTCTCGGAGGCCAGACTCCTCACCTGGACCTCAGGGACCAGGAAGGGGAGGTGCCGCCCCTCGGTTCCCGCCCCTCAGTCTCCAGGAATAACCGCTCCTGTTGTCTGACTTGCAGATAGTATTGAAGCCAGCCTGGAGGCGGCATCCTCGCACACTGAGGCCGCCAGCCAGCTCCTGGCTGAAGCCAGCCGGCACCACGTAAGTCAGAGGGACAGCCCACGGCCTCGGCCCCTGTCCCATCCCAGACGGCTCAGGCCTGACCTCCCCGGAGAGGGCCACGCCCACGGGGCATTTCTGAGCCCAGGACTGGCATGAGGGCGGGGAGAGGGGCGGGTGGCAGGTGGCGCCTCTAGGGTGGTCACCCTGCCTCCTGTGGTGTCACCTGTGGAGGCTGAAGGGCCCTGTGGGCTGGGGGATGGGGGGATGGATGGATGGATGGATGGATGGATGGATAGGTGGATGGGTAAAAAAAAAGATGGGTGGGTGGATGGATGGGTGGATGGATGGATGGATGGATGGATGGGTGGATGGATGGGTGGATGGATGGGGGGATGGGATGGATGATGGATGGATAGGTGGATGGGTGGATGAGGGAGTGGATGGATAGATGGATGAGGGGGTGGATGGGTGGATGAGGGGTTGGATGGGTGGATGAGGGGGTGGATGGGTGGATGAGGGG